AGTAGTAGTAGTAGTAGTAGTAGTAGTAGTAGTAGTAGTAGTAGTAGTAGTAGGAGGAGGAGGAGGAGGAGGAGTCTTGATAGTAGTAGTAGTTTTGGTAGTAGCTGCAGTCGTAATAGTAGTCGTAGTTGTTGTCGTAGTTATTGTAGTAGGCATAGAAACTGTTACTTTGTTGTTGTAATAGTTTTAGTGGTACTAGTAGGCAAGTAGTGGCCTAGTGGTTAGGCTACCGGACTCGAAATCGTGAGATTCCGGCCCGCGTTCAGGGTTTCGAGCCTCAGCTCGGCCCGACGCTGTGTCCTTGGGAAAGGCACTTTGCACGAATTTCCCACTTGGCTCGGTCCTTTCGGAGATGGACGTTAAACTGGGAGGTCCTGCCTCTTAAAAAACCTAATAGTGTTGATAGGGGCGTTAAACCTATACCATTTCACCATTTTTAGTAGGCAAGTAATAGAACTGCAATATGGTTTTAAATTCCTTTTTTTGTTGCTGTTTCTGTCAGATGTGCGAGAGTACAGAGAGAGTGGACAAGGTGCCGGCCCCTGGGCTGACGGACGACGTCCTGATGGAGAACTATGTGAAGAGAGATGTGCCTGTGATAGTGACCGGCGCCTCGCCTCTCAAGGGGGACATAACCCTGCATCGACTCGCCCAGGTACACAGCTGATTATTTTTGTTTCCTTTCTTTTTTTATTTATTGTAGTAGTAGTAGTAGTAGTAGTAGTAGTAGTAGTAGTAGTAGTAGTAGTAGTTCATGCAGTAGGTATCAGTATAGGAGCGCCGGTTTATTGCCTCTTTCAACTTCGTTGGCTTTTTACTTCAGAGGCAGAAGCTCTAGTTATGACGCCTCTCTCAGGCAAGACTAAGATGAGAGGGTAGATACTAGAAAGCCTTGAAAACTTCCCAGACATACTAAGTTCAAGAATACTCCATTAGGGATTCGAACCAAAGCCATCCGCACTATGAGGCATGAGTTTGTTCCTCGTGTGAATAGAACTTATATCGAGTATCTCAGTCTTTCTTCTGATCGAGACGTTGTGCCCCTCTTAGCCCGAGTTGGCCCTGACAGGCAGGGTTGAAGCCATCCGCCTCTTAAATGATCTTAGTGGGTGGTTGGCGGGTGCTT